ATTCCCCTACCCAAAAAGGGTTTTTAGGGCCACGGGATGTTCTCGGGTTTTACCCCCCGTCCCCCGGGACGCATAGGGTACACTACCGAGGCATGCGGGCGGAAACATACCCACCCCTTCACTGGTGAAAATTTTTTTCCTCCTACACTTCTCGAAATTTATCGTCGAGGCCCAAAAAAAATCACAATCCATGTCAGGGAAACATCGTCATTACTGGGAAATCCCGAGGCCAGGCCATGGGAAAATATTAGTTTTCTCTTTTGTTTGGAAAAACCCAACGGGGGTCACCCGGGGCCCACCCCCCAGGGTAGAGGTGTGGATGTGGGGTTTTCGCACTTTTATCAATATTTCCCGGTATTTTTTTCGGTTTTTCTAAATTTCAAAGCCGTAGAATTCGTCTTCATTTCCCCCTTCCAAAACAGTGTCAGAAAAAATATCAGACCGGAAAAGGGGGAGTCCCAATTTTCCGGGGGGGGGGGGAGAGCCCGCTTGCGGGCGAGGATGGGGGAACAAAGGGGGGACGGGGCCCGGGGTTCCCCCAATGCTTTGCAGGCGGGGGAGATTTTTTGTTTACGGCGCGGGCCCCCTTCTCTCATATGTAGGCCTTTTGAGCGCTTTGCCCCCTTAAAATTTTACCCGCGCTAGAATTTTGGCCCTAGATTTTACGGGGTTTGGGGCACTCACCGACCAGCCGTAGATAAAATTTTTGGGAGGCCCTGAAAAAGGGGTTTGTCTTCTCAGCCATTTGTCTTTTAGTCCCCCTAATTCCCGCATCGACATTATTTTTTACAAAACAGGGCTTTTTTTGTTTCCCCCTGACTCGAATGAGTTATTCTGGGGTCACCACTTTGATTACAGCAATTTTCACATCTCTCCACCATGAAAAGGTAGTAAGTAAAATTACTGTAAATTATGTAGAATACTATAAAATTACTGTACAATCCAGTACTGTGCTGTAGTATTACAAGTTACTATACCCGTATTCTTAGCGTCCAGATGGCTTCTGCATCAGTATACCAAGTCCATTGTTTCAGAAGACAGCCAATCACGAAATGCAACTTCATAATTTGAGTTACGGACAATCAGCATTACCATACACCCCCTACCCCTATTAGTCCATTAATCAGAGATTTTACCGTATGTTGTTTAACAATTTCGGAGATGGGCAAGAATGGTATATAATACCGACAAGATGAATTATTATTATTATAATCAAAAAGAAGCGCTAAGCCACAAGGGCTATACAGCGCTGCACCGACAAGATGAAATTAAGACACATGTGCAACATCTGGGTATCTTTATTGTAGACGTTTTGCCATCCAGTGGCTTTGTCAATACAAATTCCAGGACATAACTTGAAGACAGTAGGACTATATACAGAAGATGAGGTAAGCAGTCCCTCAACCTAGGAGTAGGTGCAAAGAGCACCGTAGTTGTGGAGATTCTGAAGCAGAAGTAAGGAGCCTGGCGCTTATATACTAACGTCAGGTGTAGCAGACGAGGGCATAGTCACTGGTAGGCGGGATTCCCCAGTGGAAGTAGGTCCTTCCCAAAGAGATGGGTTAGTTGTAGTAGTTGTTGCCGTAGTCATGAAGGTTATGTACGTGTCCTCAGAATCAAGATTCCATGATGTTGCAGTGTCTGACAAGTTGTGCAAGAATGGTATATAATACTGACAAGATGTCAGACACTGCAACATCATGGAATCTTGATTCTGAGGACATGTACATAACCTTCACGACTACTACAACTAACCCATCTCTTTGGGAAGGACCTACTTCCACTGGGGAATCCCGCCTACCAGTGACTATGCCCTCGTCTCCTACACCTAACGTTAGTACATAAGCTCCAGGCTCCTTACTTCTGCTTCAGAATCTCCACGACTACGGTGCTCTTCACACCTACTCCTAGGTTGAGGGACTGATTACCTCATCTTCTGTATATAGTCCTACTGTCTTCAAGTTATGTCCTGGAATTTGTATTGATAAAGCCACTGGATGGTGAAACATCTACAATAAAGATACCCAGATGTTGCACATGTGTCTTAATTTCAATTTCGGAGATGTTTGGAACAATACTCCTATTTTCCTATGCATTCTTCACAGCGTTGAACACTATTTCAGGTTAGGTGCCAATTTTCAGAAACATAACTTTTGTGTTACTCAAGCACTTAACTGTACTCTACCATATTCATTTCTTAAATAATCTGCAGTTAATTGTAACAGTCTTAAATTTTTCCATCACTCTTTGTCTATATTTCTTTCTCATAGGCCAGAGTCAAGACTATACTGCCACAGTTACATCTTTACAATACTTAAGAAACATTTCTCTTTGGTGTATTGACTTTTTTTTCACTTGGCACCGCACTCACTGAATTCTCTTTCCATTGTTCCACGATTACATAAAATTATTTCAAAATTATACATTTAAATTTCTTTACCTTTTCCAATACCTGAGCTTCTGTTTCAGTCTTACTCTCTAGTAATCCAGTCAAATTACCCTGAAAAGCGGGAAATTGCAGAAATAATTTATAAAGACGTAAAATTTTCATATACTCTTGAAGGCAGTATAAATAAAGATCTAAAGAGTTCCCTTCCGTTCGACTGCAGCAATCCCCCTTTCTTTGCCTCAACTCCTTTACCCTCTGAGTTGGGGACTTTTTATTTTTTTATGGTTATTTGAAAAACAGTACATCTGACAATAGAAGTTGGAAATAAATTGGAAAATAAATTCTGAACAAGATCGCTTCTATGCATGCTTGTCTTATCTATAGCACAATAGTTTTTGTGTAAGCCAGACCATATGTGGAGAGCAATTTTAAGTAAATGCTAAGTTTTTGTTACCTGCACTCAGTTTTCTCACAATGTCTCACAAATGACAAGTTTTCTAGTAATAATAACAGGAAATTCTTTATTTGAATTGTTAAAAAAATATTGTTATTCACTTTCTAAAGCATCATTGAAAAATTTGAGATCAGTGAAACTAGATTTTTGAAGATGGCATCAATAAGTAGTTGCAAAAAAGATTAGTCCAGGGAGAAACTGTGGTTGTTAAAGATGGTATCCACAACTTGTGGTATTTGAGCGAAATTCAAAAAGACTGTAATTTTGAGTGTTTAAAGAAACAGGACATGGAGTGGTTGGTGCAATTATTTAATAAATGTGTGGAAGAGGGTAAGGTACCTAGGGATTGGCAGAGAGCATGCATAGTTCCTTTGTATAAAGGCAAAGGGGACAAAAGAGAGTGCAAAAATTATAGGGGGATAAGTCTGTTGAGTATACCTGGTAAAGTGTATGGTAGAGTTATTATTGAAAGAATTAAGAGTAAGACGGAGAATAGGATAGCAGATGAACAAGGAGGCTTTAGGAAAGGTAAGGGGTGTGTGGACCAGGTGTTTACAGTGAAACATGTAAGTGAACAGTATTTAGATAAGGCTAAAGAGGTCTTTGTGGCATTTATGGATTTGGAAAAGGCGTATGACAGAGTGGATAGGGGGGCAATGTGGCAGATGTTGCAGGTGTATGGTGTAGGAGGTAGGTTACTGAAAGCAGTGAAGAGTTTTTACGAGGATAGTGAGGCTCAAGTTAGAGTATGTAGGAAAGAGGGAAATTATTTCCCAGTAAAAGTAGGCCTTAGACAAGGATGTGTGATGTCACCGTGGTTGTTTAATATATTTATGGATGGGGTTGTAAGATAAGTAAATGCGAGGGTCTTGGCAAGAGGCGTGGAGTTAAAAGATAAAGAATCACACATAAAGTGGGAGTTGTCACAGTTGCTCTTTGCTGATGACACTGTGCTCTTGGGAGATTCTGAAGAGAAGTTGCAGAGATTGGTGGATGAATGTGGTAGGGTGTGCAAAAGAAGAAAATTAAAAGTAAATACAGGAAAGAGTAAGGTTATGAGGATAACAAAAAGATTAGGTGATGAAAGATTGGATATCAGGTTGGAGGGAGAGAGTATGGAGGAGGTAAATGTATTCAGATATTTGGGAGTGGACGTGTCAGTGGATGGGTCTATGAAAGATGAGGTGAATCATAGAATTGATGAGGGGAAAAGGGTGAGTGGTGCACCTAGGAGTCTGTGGAGACAAAGAACTTTGTCCTTGGAGGCAAAGAGGGGAATGTATGAGAGTATAGTTTTACCAATGCTCTTATATGGGTGTGAAGCATGGGTGATGAATGTTGCAGCGAGGAGAGGGCTGGAGGCAGTGGAGACGTCATGTCTGAGGGCAATGTGTGGTGTGAATATAATGCAGAGAATTCGTAGTTTGGAAGTTAGGAGGAGGTGCGGGATTACCAAAACTGTTGTCCAGAGGGCTGAGGAAGGGTTGTTGAGGTGGTTCGGACATGTAGAGAGAATGGGGCGAAACAGAGTGACTTTAAGAGTGTATCAGTCTGTAGTGGAAGGAAGGCGGGGTAGGGGTCGGCCTAGGAAAGGTTGGAGGGAGGGGGTAAAGGAGGTTTTGTGTTCGAGGGGCTTGGACTTCCAGCAGGCATGCGTGAGCGTGTTTGATGAGTGAATGGAGACAAATGGTTTTTAATACTTGACGTGCTGTTGGAGTGTGAGCAAAGTAACATTTATGAAGGGGTTCAGGGAAACCGGCAGGCCGGACTTGATTGTTATTATTATTATAATCAAGGGGAAGTGCTAAACCCGGAGGATTATACAGCGCCTGGGGGGGGGATGTGGAAGGCATTCAGGCTTAATTCGGGGAACTGGAGCACAGATCCAATTTCCTAAATCAAGAGCCCCTCACCAACATCAAGGAACCTTCCTTGAGGGGGGCCGGACTTGAGTCCTGGAGATGGGAAGTACAGTGCCTGCACTCTGAAGGAGGGGTGTTAATGTTGCAGTTTAAAAACTGTAGTGTAAAGCACCCTTCTGGCAAGACAGTGATGGAGTGAATGATGGTGAAAGTTTTTCTTTTTCGGGCCACCCTGCCTTTGTGGGAATTGGCCAGTGTGATAATAAATAATAAGGATATCATTGAAGGGCATAAAGTTTGCAGATATGAATATGTTTAATAGAAAAATATTGCTATATTTTGCATTGGATGGTTTGTATTTTCTACTGTAGATTCTCTTTTTTTAAGACTTCCTCTAAATTATGTTAACTGCACCTTGCATCACTGCTATTACTGTCACTTATAGTGAGAGTGTAATGGTCATAATTTTAACTATAATTTTTAAAGGGGGTGGACCAGTAAGCCATCAGAAGGCCTCAGTCGGATGATCAGAAGCTCCAGCTGTGGGTCATCATATGACTAAGACCCGTGTCAAGAAACACTTGTCCTGTTTCCTGACAAACCTTATCTAACTTAATCTACTGTCACTATAACTGAGAATCCTCTTGATTTGACCTTCACTCATATTATGTTGGCTGTAGTGCCAAATGCAGGAACAATGAAAAACGGACAGGTTTTAGATACAGCCGAGCTCATACTGGACAAACTTGCTATGAAGTGTACTGGTCTGCTACATGATACACTCATACAGACAAATGTGCAGTGAAATGGTTTTTGTTCTCTGTATGGATAACTCTATCACCTGCATGCAGCAGACTTGCCATGCCTTTGTGCAGTCAGGTTTTCTTGTTGAAATTCATTGCACCAGGGTTTTGTTGTATTCAATCAAATGAAGGAAACATGCCACTGTACATTAATTAGTTTGTGGTGCCTGTATTAGAATCTTGCCCCATGGATTGATTCACTCTGAAACACATTATAATCCATGTTCTAAAGGTGGGAAGGTTTTTTCTTGCTGGCATCCCAACCTGTAAGAGGAAATAAATTTAAGTTTGCTACCTTAAAGCTATGGACCCATTTCAAGATTACTGAAGTTTTTTTTTATACTTTTACTCCAGTTTGTCATATAAAGAGAGAGGAAACTTCATTCACTGTATTGTAACTATTGGTTTGTCTTTTGCAGAAAGTATATCATCACACAGACAGTCTCTAATCAGCCAGGAAAGGACAAGCTTGGGTTCCAGTAGCAGATTGTCAGAGATCTTTACAACTTTCCAGAGTCGTTTGTCAAATGACTACTCTGGGATTCTTGGTAAACACATACAAACTTACCATTTACTCTTATATTCTTGTAATTTAAATTTTTAATAAGACTAAGACAAGAGCCATGTGTTGCCACAAGTATACATACTTCTTTCTTTCTTTCAACACACCAGCCGTATCCCACCGAGGCGGGGTGGCCCAAAAGGAAAAACGAAAGTTTCTCCTTTTACACTTAGTAATATATACCTACCAACCGACTTACGACCGAGTTCAGTTCCGAGAAACCGGTCGTAAGTCGAACTTTACTACTGAATATCAACAAAACATTTTTGTAATGACTTTATTTTATTGTTTTATTTTCATATTTCATGTTTTACTTTACTTTTTATGTTGTTAGTACTGTATTTTATACTGTAAGGTTTAGGATAAACACTGTGTACAACACAGAATGGAAAAAGTACAGAAGGCAGAGAACACACGAAAATAGGGAGATAAGTCGCAGAGCCAGGAATGAGTACGCACAGGTAAGGAGGGAGGCCCAGCGACAGTATGAAAATGACATAGCATCGAGAATCAAGACTGACCCGAAACTGTTGTATAGCCACATCAGGAGGAAGACAACAGTCAAAGACCAGGTGATCAGATTAAGGACAGAAGGTGGAGAACTCACAAGAAATGATCAGGAGGTTTTTGAGGAGCTGAACAGGAGATTTAAGGAAGTTTTTACAGTAGAGACAGGAAGGGCTGTGGGAAGACAGCACAGAAGGGAACGTCAAGAGGGAATATACCAACAAGTGTTGGATGACATACGAACAACTGAGGAGGTGAAGAAGCTCTTAAGTGACCTTGACACCTCAAAGGCGATGGGACCGGACAACATCTCCCCATGGGTCCTTAAAGAAGGAGCAGAGATGCTGTGCGTGCCTCTAACCACAATCTTCAACACATCCCTTGAAACTGGGCAACTACCTGAGAAATGGAAGACAGCTAATGTAGTCCCCATATTTAACCCTTTCACGGTCCAAGGCCCAAATCTGGAGTCACGCACCAGTGTCCAAGAATTTAAAAAAAAAAAAATTTTTTTATTTTTTCTTATGAAATCGTAGAGAATCTTTTTGTGAAGGTAATAAAACAAAAAGTACGAAATTTGGTGGAAAATTGACGAAATTATGCTCTCGCGAATTTTGATGTGTCAGCGATATTTACGAATCGGCGATTTTGCCGACTTTGACTCCCATTTTAGGCCAATTACATTATTCCAATCAACCAAATTCTTAGCTATTTCACTAGTATTACTTCTATTCTATCGATTGAGCACAAGAAATCGCCAAGTCAACTGTTTCAACTACAAAATAAAGTGATCGGAAATTGTTAATTTGGCCAATTTAACACAAAGTTCAAAATATTCCAATTTCAAAATAGGGTCCAGAATGAACAATGTAGGCATTCCTGGCACTAAACTAACATTTCCTCTGTTCATTAGTTATGTTTTGAGGCTTTACAAATAAATTCCATTTTGATTTTTTATTCACATAATGAATTTTTGTTCACACCAAAAAATAGAAGATTTACTGTTATGCAATACTGTAATAATTGTATAAATATCATCACCATATTTGTGAATGTATATTAGACCCACCAGCTGATGTGTATTAGACGTGTGAGGTCGTTTGTTTACTCTTGAATATCGGCAAAAATTTAACATTTCCGCTACTTTGAGCTCAGTTTCAAGCCATTTCCAATGCTAAAACCAATCAAAATCATCTCTATTTCTGTAATATGTCTTCCATTCTATCAAATGAGACCAAGAAATCGCAAATACAACTATAAAAAACATACGAAAAAACACTGCAAAGTTGCTGTTTTAATCGAAAAATCATGATTTCATTTTTTTTCTCTCATTATACACAGTGTGCTGCAGGATCTGTTTTAGGTGGTGCACACATACCACATAGATGTATTCTCTCATATCTAGGCCCAAATGTACCACTCACAGTTTATCAGAGTGAGCTGAGCTCATGGCGTAGATCTACGGTTTGGACCCTGAACGTAAAGCCATAGATCTACGGGACGGACCCTGAAAGGGTTAAGAAAGGAAACAGAAACGAGGCACTAAACTACAGACCTGTGTCTCTGACATGTATTGTGTGCAAAGTCATGGAGAAGATTATCAGGAGGAGAGTGGTCGAACACCTGGAAAGGAACAAGATTATAAATGAAAACCAGCATGGGTTCATGGAAGGCAAATCTTGTATCACAAACCTCCTGGAGTTTTATGACAAGGTAACAGAAGTAAGACACGAGAGAGAGGGGTGGGTAGATTGCGTTTTCCTAGACTGCAGGAAGGCCTTTGACACAGTTCCCCACAAGAGATTAGTGCAGAAGCTGGAGGATCAGGTGCACGTAAAAGGGAGGGCACTGCAATGGATAAGAGAATACCTGACAGGGAGGCAGCAACGAGTCATGGTACGTGAAGAGGTATCACAGTGGGCGCCTGTTACGAGCGGGTCCCACAGGGGTCAGTTCTAGGACCAGTGCTATTTTTGATATATGTGAACGACATGATGGAAGGAATAGACTCTGAAGTGTCCCTGTTCGCAGATGATGTGAAGTTGATGAGAAGAATTAAATTGGACGAGGATGAGGCAGGACTGCAAAGAGACCTGGACAGGCTGGACATGTGGTCCAGCAACTGGCTTCTCGAATTCAATCCAGCCAAATGCAAAGTCATGAAGATTGGGGAGGGGCAAAGAAGACCGCAGACAGAGTATAGGCTAGGTGGACAAAGACTACAGACCTCACTCAGGAGAAAGACCTTGGGTGACCATAACACCGAGCACATCACCGGAGGCACACATCAACCAAATAACCGCTGCAGCATACGGGCGCCTGGCAAACCTGAGAATAGCGTTCCGATACCTTAATAAGGAATCATTCAAGACACTGTACGCTGTGTATGTTAGGCCCATACTGGAGTATGCAGCACCAGTCTGGAACCCACACCTGGTCAAGCACGTCAAGAAGTTAGAGAAAGTACAAAGGTTTGCAACAAGGCTAGTCCCAGAGCTCGAGGGAATGTCGTACGAGGAAAGGTTAAGGGAAATCGGACTGATGACACTGGAGGACAGAAGGGTCAGGGGAGACATGATAATGACATACAAGATACTGTGGGGAATAGACAAGGTGGACAGAGATAGGATGTTCCAGAGAGGGGACACAGGGACAAGGGGTCACAACTGGAAGCTGAAGACTCAGACGAGTCACAGGGTCGTTAGGAAGTATTTCTTCAGTCATAGAGTTGTCAGCAAGTGGAATAGCCTAGCAAGTGAAGTAGTGGAGGCAGGAACCATACATAGTTTTAAGAAGAGGTATGACAAAGCTCAGGAAGCAGAGAGAGAGAGGATCCAGTAGCGATCAGTGAAGAGGCGGGGCCAGGAGCTGAGTCTCGACCCCTGCAACCACAATTAGGTGAGTACAAATAGTTGTTTATTTCCCAGAAATTTGGCATAAAAAACACGGTCATAAGTCAAGTGGTCGTAAGTCGAGCAGGTCGTAAGTCGGATGGTAGGTGTATACAGGAGAAGGGGTTACTAGCCCCTTGCTCCCGGCGTTTTAGTTGCCTCTTACAACACGCATGGCTTACAGAGGAAGAATTCAAGTATACATACAGTTTTATAATTATTTAACCAGTCAATTACAATTCCTGCCATAAATTCAATTTGTTGGCCAGCTCTGATTCTTAAAAAAAAAAAACTGAAAAATACCTTGCTATATAAATGCATTAAACTTTTAGATAATTTGTATGATAAATAAAAGAAATAAAATATGATGTCTGGCCTTTGCATCTTATGTCATTTTTCTCATGGGGGGCAGGAGACAAACCCATTGCTTTAGTGAGCTAACAGAATTATGGTACTTGTTGTGTAATATGAATTATTAAATATTACCCATATTGTCCACTCTTGAGCTAGTGAATTGAAATTTTGTATTCTTTACAGATGTAAGTGACTCCTGTTTGCTGTCACTGTCCATGGAAGATTTTAATGCCTGAAGAATTAGTGATGCACAGTATTACATTTGAAAAGATATAAAATACCATGTACATATATGGTAAGTCCATACTGAGGCAATAACTTGATTATGTACTTGTGATGCAAATGTAAGATTGACTGGCTTTGTAAAACCTAGTCAGTACCTTTACATTGTAGTCCAGACCAATGTTAATAAGTAGGGTATATTATATAATCTTTGTCTTCCTTTAATTGTGTATATTGTCTAAAATACTAGTTAAAATAAAATGCTTGAATGATTAAATACTTTAATATAAACCACTTCAGTTCAAGTTTGGGAGAGTAGAGAAGAGTTTTACCATCCTAAATGTTAGTGTATAATAATTGTGTGAGGATAATAAAGTGGAATCTTTTACAAAATCTATATTTAAGCAGGTAACATTAAAGCTATTGTGCTTTCCAGTTAGTTGAAGCAGTTGGGGTAATTGTTTTTATACATTAAATAATGAATGATGTACAGCAACTTGTTATATCTGAAAATATTTTTTATTATTATTTAGTTAAGGTAATTGTTTGTTTTCTGGCTTGCATTTTTTTTTTTATCTTATTTTTGCTGGTTGACTAGTTACAGTAAAAGTCTGATAAATGGACTCCCATAAAGTGGATGTTAGATAAAACAGACAAAAAAATGTGGGAGGACAAAGGCTCAACATGTACATTTAACAGGATGTCCAATTAAAATAGCCATGATGTGAACCAAATCCACAATGTCGAACAGCTGTCCAGTCCAGTCATATGCTCAATATAATGCACTAACTCTATTTAATCACAACTTTGTATAATCCATGCTTTGTCCAGGACCTGTCCATTTTCATTGTGGTTGTACAGGTAAACCTCTTGTGTCAAACTGGAAATTGTTGCCAGAGACAAATAATTGTTTATAAGAAGTGCATACAGGGCAGTGAGGGCAAGGAAGAGCAGGCAATCAGGGAAGCAGTCAAACAGCCAGCCAGCTTGTTAAAAAGAATTGCAGACTTGATATTTACATTCTTGTCTCAAGTCTTCTGGGTCTGGTACACTAATCACTAGTACATAGTCTGTCGCCCATGTCCAGTACAAGTACAGTATTCCTCTCTGCCTTCCTTTCCTCGCTTCCTCCTACTCCCAAAACACCCTCCACAATTACTCCATTCAAAATAGGCAAGCAGGCAGACTCAATATTTCCATTGAGAGAGGGAGGAGCAGAAGAGAGACAGATTTAGAGATATCAAAGCTTGCTTGCATTAATTTTTTCTTCATATGTCCAGTGTTGTCATCAGTACAGCAAACTAAGTGTTTTATCAGACATTTGTCCATGTCCAGTAGTCGATCAGTTAAACTGACTACATTTACTTAATTGAAACATTCGATGTAATGGAATTTTCGATAAACTGGATACCCCCTTTTCCCTATTAGTCTATTTTATGGGACTTTTACTGTAATGCAGTTCATTTTGGATTATGATGCTTGTACCATTGGCTTTTTTTTTTTTTTGTTATAGAGACAGGTATTCTTAACCATATACAGGTCTCCCTCAACATTCGCATTTTTAACTTTCGTGGGCTTCACACATTCGCGAATTCCCAGCCACCAAATCGTATTTAAGTTTCCCGCCACCCGCTCGTCCCTACTGCCCTCCCTCCAACTAGCAGCCAGCCCACCTAGACTCATCATGCCATGCAGTTAAGTAAGTTTATTCAGGTATACACAAATACAGTTACACTGATTATCATACATAGCAGCATATGTGTAAAGTACCTAGGTTAACCCAAAAAAGTTCCTCTCTATATAATCACCTCCATTCAACTGTCATCAGTAACTGCATGGCTATCATTATTTGGCTAACTGTTTATTGTTTGTTATTAAACTACATTATAAATAATGTCAACCCATTCATGACTGCATATTGGAATGGCCATTCGGACAGGTATTGGACGGTGACATCGTTTGTTTACTCTTGAACCATGGGCCCAAAGAAACTTGCTAGTGCCAACCCTTTGGTAAAGAAATTGTACAAAAATATGAGGCAGTGGTATTTAATAACATACATGTTATTAAACCATAACATGTATGTATATAGTACAATATTTTAAGATGTTTTCATGTATATTTTATGATTGTTCATGGTTCAATAGGTTAAGGAAGCAATATTGTATTATATTTCCCTACAATATATTGGGGCACCAAACATTCGCGATTTTTCAACATTCGCGAGGTTCTTGATCCCCTAACCCTCGCGAATGTTGAGGGAGATCTGTATATTATATTAGTGGTATATTTATATGCTACTAACTGCACCATCTGTATAGTCATGTTTATATACTTTATAGTCTGCAAACTGTTGAAGGTAAATCTTACGAAATGTGTTGATATGCAAAGGATGTAACAGAAGGACCTACTGGCCTGTGCGTTCTTCCATTTGCACTTACGGATTTGTCCAACCTGTTTTTAAAGTTATATTGCTATAGTGAATGCATGGCAGTTTGTGGCACCCATTTGCAACTGTATTACTAAATATTATAACACTAATGGTATACAATACCAAGTTGATGAATTAGATATGTATGCAACACCTGGGCAATACATGTTACATGTGTATTGCCACACTAATGCTCATTTATAATATTTTTAAATATTAATTTTAATTTATCTAGTTTGAATTCATTGTTGTAAACTCCACTTTAATTGGATATTTTCAGCATTGAAATTCAGGATTACATATTGGTAGAACTAAAAAATATATTAGTAGCAATTGAAGCTATTGGACAGCCTTGAACTGAGGTAACAGACACCTACCCACATACTGTTTTGGTCTCTTGTCATCTAAGAGAAGAAGAGCTGCATAATTTATCAAAAATATGATATGAAACATCTAAAACACTTTGCATCTCTTTGTATTTGAAGCATTGTATAGAACAGCTATTCCTCAGAGCATAAGTTTTAAGTTATCTTGGTAGCTCATGTGTTTCAACTTAAGAGGACCAATTTCTCAAATGTAAAAATGAGATGTCTCTATTCTTATTTATTGATTTAAATATTCATACTCTTTATACTAAGAGTGACATCCAGGATATTGTACACCTATTTTCTGACATTTCTTTCTTTTATAAAATGCTAAAATTGTGAATATCATCTCTTATTCCAGCCAAAGCAATTTTTTGTTTTTAAATATTTTTCCTCAGAGCCTTAGTATATTTAGCTGTGAAACCTATAAAACTCTTGCAACTCAGTGCTCAAAATGTCAATTTTTTTTTTTTTTTTTTAACATGCTGGCCCTTTCCCACTGAGGCAGGGTAACCCAAAATCTAGGAATACTTTTATCCCCATTCACACTAGCATTTTCATATAAACTTAAGGTAAAAAATAAACTACAGCGTACATAGAGTATATATATATATATAGGTCACACATCCCTTAACCCTTTGAGGGTCGACAGGCCCTCTCCGAAACTCGTTCTCAGGGTCGGCCAAATTTAAAAAAAAAAAATTATTTTCTCTTATGAAAAGATAGAGAATCTTTTCCCGATCATAAAGACACCAAAAGTTTGAAATTTGATAGAAAACTTAAGGAATTATGCTCTCGCAAAGTTAGCGGTCTCGGCGATGCTTACGCATCGGCGATTTTGCCCACTTTGAGCCCCATTTTCGACCAATTTCACTGTACTAGTCGACAAAAAACATGAATATTTCGCTAGAACTCCATTTTTTCTAACGAATGGGTGCAAGAAACCACTCATTTATGAAATTCAACTATCCAGTACAGTGGTCAGAATTTAGCAATTTTGCCAATTTCACACAAATTTCAAAAGATGCCAATTTCCGAATAGGGTCCAGAATAAACAAGAAAGACATTCCTGGCACTAAAATGACATTTCCTCTGGTCATTAGTCACGTCTCAAGGCCCCTCTTATATTCTTTTGCTTTCCACTTTGAATTTTTATTCTCACAAAAAATATAAGATTTACTGTTATGCAGACTACTGCATTAGTGTAAAAAATGGTATAAATATTATTGGTGCACTTGTGAAAGAATATTAGACTCACCAGTTGACGTGTATTGCAAGCTTGGCACGATTTGTTTACTTTTGAAGTTTGGTAAAAATCGAACATTTCTGCTACTTTGAGCTCAATTTCAAGGCACCTTTCTTTGTAAAACCAGTCAAAATCATCTCAGTTTCTATAATATGTCTTCCATTCTATAAAATGAGACCAAGAAAACTAGAATACAACAATAAATACCATACGAAAATACACTGCAAAGTCGCTGATTTATTAAAAAAAAATGGTCAAAGTTTTTTTTTTCTCATTATGCACTGTGTGCTGCAGGATTTTTTTTAGACTGTGCACACTGACCACATAGACCCATTCTTTCATATGAAGGCCTACCAGCTTTCTCCCACTAGATTTGAGGCCGCTAGAATTTATGAGTACTAGTACGTCAAAAAACCCTACGCGTAAGACGTACTAGTACGACGAAAACCCTCAAAGGGTTAAGTGGTTTGCATTGAAGCATACAAGTGAGCAATACTCAGATAAGTATAAGGAGCTGTTTGATGTAGTTATTGATTTAAAAAGGCAATACTGTCCTGTCAGAAGAGTGTGAAATAGAAACTTTTTTTTTTTTTTTTCACTCTGGCAGTATTACTAATCTTCAATTTCTGTCTTATGAACAGGAAAAACAACAGGTACCATATTTTACAGCAAACAAGTGTCAAGCACCCCCTTGTCCCCCAGTCTGACTGGCTAAATTTTGAAAAAAAAAAAAAAAAAAAAAAAAGGTATCCATAGTAATAAAGTTAAGCCTGAGGCACTGAACATAAAAACATGATGGTTTATTCTGTGGTTATTTATTACGAACGCAGCTGACAGGCAGGTTCGCCAGTTAGCTAAAATGCACTACAGCGTGCCAGTATACTGGCAATTATTCTAGATCTGCTAAATCCTAATCCTGAACTTAAAAGGTTCTTACATTAAGAATTGTCAACTGAATGTTCTTTCCTGAGTTAACTTAAATGGTCACCTACTCATAATAAACAGTGTTCAGCAATGACAGACATATTTCCCTCTTAGGTTGTCAAATTAGCAAGTTTATTTAGGTACAGGTACACAAATCCAGCTGCACAAATTATTGTACATAGAAATGTATGTAAATTACCTAGGATAACCCAAAAAAAGTAAAACAAGTGACTTATTTCCACAGGGGGTCCTTGATTTCCATTGTTTGTCTTTGTGTACTGAAAGGTTCTTTGGTTTTCTTCCCCTCAAGGAAGGCTCCTTGACGCTGGTGAGGGGCTCTTGATCTAGGGAATTGGATCTGTGCTCCAGTTCCCTGAATTAAGCCTGAATGCCTTCCATCCCCCCATAGGCGCTGTATAATCCTACGGGTTTAGTGCTTCCCCCTTGATTATAATAATAATAATAATAATTCGGTTTTCTTGTGTTTGGCAGTATTTTTGTCTTTGTCACTCAATTTAGCTGCAACTGAATGTAACACTTGCAGGACACTATCACTCATATCAGTCACATACAATACAGGTCTCCCTCCACATTTGCAAGGGTTAGGGGATCAAGAAGCTCGTAAATGTTGAAAAATCCCAAATGTTTGGTGCACAAATATTTTGTAGGGAAATATAATAATAGCATTTACTTAGCCTAACAATACTGCTTCCTTAACCTATTGAACCATGAACAATCATAACACACATGAAAACATCGTAAAATATTGTACTAGTGCCAGCCCTTTGGTAAAGGTGAAAAACACTATAGAATTAAAAGAAAGAACTCATAGCAGAGTACCAAAGTGGAGGAGGAAGAGAGAGAGAGAGAGGGGGGGGAGAATGTGCCTTCTTCAGTGATTCTGCGATATGTACAATACTAAAACAGCACGAGTCAATAAAGGCTATAGTGCCAGCCAGCGATAAAGTGTAGCAAGTAAATTAAGCGATTAATTGAAAGAAAAAGGACAGCACGAAGCTAACTCCTCCAATGTTGTTGGAGTTATATAGGGCGAAATGACAACACCGTCGTCTCTACCGCCTCCACCACCATGTAAAGCTTACGCTCTCAGTGGCCCTTATACACCCAACAACAACAGTGCAACAACACTCATGACATACTTAATGACATATTTTATTCATTCATGTTTCTATGCCTCTTCAAGGGGGGCTCCTTGGCGTGGTGAAGAGGCTCTTGGTCTGAGGAATTAGCCCTGTCGGTCTTCTTCCTCAGACCGAACCTAATTACCCCCCATTCTCCCCTCCCCTATCCCATCCTCCCCTTTTTCCATTCCTCCTCCTCCTCCCCACCCCTCCCTTTTGCCCTTCCTCTTTTTGGCCTTTGGGATTTCTCCCACAGGCGCGTTAGTTCCTAGGTAGGGGAAAGGACACCGGGGTCCATCCCATTCCGTTGAGGTTCTTGGCGGTGGCGTAGTTTGCCGTGGAATCTGGATTGCCTGGGGATGTCCCTATCCCTCTCCGGTATCCCGGAGTAGCTTTGGGTGTCTTTCGGGCGACGGGTGTATCTCTGGAAGCCACCTTTCGGATTCCGGGGGTGGTGGCCGAAGGAGGTATGCTTTGTGGCGGATATCCGGCCGCCCTCTCTTTTGTCCACCGAGGTAGCTCGGCAGATGTGAGGTTGCTATCCCGGATTGCTGGTTTACTGGCATGAAGGGTAGGGTATGGCACGGGTTCCATCTGCATCTGCGCTACTAGCGGTGTTGAGGTCCTCTTGGGCGTGGAGGGAGATTTCCGGCCCTTTCATTCCTCCTGGGAACTATTCCTCCCCGCTCCCCCCTTTTTTTATTCTTTTTTTATTTTTATTTTCTTTTCTTCTTTTTTTTTTTCTTAAAAACAAAAAGCAAAGGAGTAACCTAACCATGGCAGCCCTAGTCCATGAACCCACTACCCCTGGGCCCCTTCTTGATACCACACCCCATTCTGACCCTGCCTTGTGTTTAGATCACTCTTCGGACACTCCTGATGCCCCTGTACCTCTTGCTGGTGCTGTTTACTCACCCGCTTCAGGTACCGGGGCTTCGACTGACTCCTTCGATTTGTCTGAACTCCGCTCTCCTTTGACTATGCTTCCGGCTTCTCCTACGGTACGGCAATTTTCGAATCGCCTGCCCATTTCGCGCCGGACCAACTCCGGTCCTACTCCTAAACGCCAACGTCAATCTCCTGATGATGCTCCTTCGTTACCTTCCCATTCTACTCGGAAAAGACCGACACGTCAAGCACTCCCTCTCCACGCTCAGTTTCGGACCACACAATGGACTAAATTCTTTACTTTAAGACCAACTTCTTCTTCTGCCTACCTTTCTGACCATAGTATTGGCAAAGCTCTCCTGCATCATGTTGGTAGAGATATTTCATTTCATGCTCTCAAGAGCGGTATGTGCATCGTCACTGTCCAGAATGCTACCCAAGCTCATGATCTTTCTCTCCTTTTGAATATCGATACTACTATCACTATTGAAAAACATCTTTCTCTCAGTTCTTGTAGTGGTACTGTCATTTTGCCCCATACCATAGTCCAACAGAATTTCCAGTCATGTGGCAATGACATTTTTGAACAGCTGGAACTCCAGGATCTCCCAATCCTCAAAGTAGACACTTATGTCCTTCCTGCCCGGGGGCGGAGACGTTACCCTTGCAATGTGGCTCGTTTAACTTTTGACAGCCGAGAACTCCCGTCCTCTGTATATGTCGCGGGACATCGGTTACAAGTTTGAAAGGTGATACCTACACCGCAACAATGTAGAAATTGCTGGCGTTTTGGTCACCCAGCGAAATATTGCAGATCTATGGCCGAATCCCCAGTCTGTGGTGCCGACGACCATTCTAATACATCTTGCAGTCAACCTCCATCTTGCCTTAATTGTAATGAAGCTCACCCTTCGTACTCCCGCCGTTGCCAGGTCTACTTAAATGAACGTGAAATCCGTTGCCTCAAAGAGGCAGAAGGTCTCCCTTATGCTATGGCAGTTACTCATCTCCGCCTCCAAGGGAGACTACCCCGTGTTTCTTATTCTCGTGTTTCCAAACATCCCCCCACTTCTGGGGTCCCATCTTCTGCAGCCTCCTCTGTTGTTACCCCTCCCATAGCCACTACGGCATCTAATCCTTTTGCTGTCCTTGGCTCTGACGTCCCGACTACAACTCAATCTGTTCTCACATCTTCGCGT